ATGCATTTCGGGGGACAGTGAATCTTGAGTAGCACAGCTTGGAGCCTTGGACATATCATGTATATTAATTAAGCTTCTTCCTTCGGCCAAAAAACAAAAACAAAAGCTTCATCCTTGGCTTCTGACTCGTCATTGTCTGCCCGTCGCATTATACTTTGCACTAACAAGTGAAAAATTCCTCCAACATTATGCCTATTATCTTGTGTAAATGGGCTTGCCTTTATGTTCTCCATTTTAGCTCACACCTGACCAATAAATCAATGCAACCTTGTAGACTTTGTTAATGTTGAACAGATGAATGCTCGCAGGATCACCCCCTTCATAGATCGTGTGTGTCATTAATTAAGTCGCAGTTTGGTATCTCATGGTGCTCATTGAAATCTATATTTTATATATAATATAAAAATTTGACATAGTGTGAACGAGCAATTAATATTAAAACACTGGCTATTCATATGCAAGCGTTCACTTGGATATTCTTGATTTCTTCTTGGGGCAAAGACGCGAGAACGATATTGGCTTCCCAGTAATTGGCATCGCTATGACATTGTTCAACGCACAATGATCCTCTGAATTATTTTTTTGGGTGAGGGGAGGTTTAATGGAAGCATGGCATGTGGTGGGGCAATGATTGGGAATGGATGGACGGTGTTGTGTAGAATTGCCAAGACGGAAAGAAGGAAGGTGCGTCAAAGTGACCCCAACACATCCTGAATCCATGTGAGATGAGGCATACATAACAGTGTGGTTGGAGCAGAGCAACAAAATTTGGATTCAACCTTGTTAAAATGTCGTTGAAATATTTTTAAAATTAAGAGATATCTTTTTTAAAAAGTTACGTCTTTATAAATTAAAGAGCTATGCCCGTAAAAAATTTATGAACGTTATATAGAGAGTTATAATCACCAATATTATGTATTTTTAAAAGAACTTTTGGATGATTATAAAACTAAAAGATATCAATTAGTAAAAGGAAATGTATTTCAAAAAAATTTTATAAATTAAAAAGAACGTTGTTTTCATGAAAGTTTATTATAAATAGGCATTGATCAATATTAATTATTAATAGGAATGTTTATGAATCAACACAAAGTTATTCATAAACCAATATAAGGGTTATAAATCAATATTGATTATAACTTTTAATGAGAATATTATTATTTAAAACGTACCACTTTAAAACATTACTTAAATATTTATAAATACTACTCACCATCACTCATTTGAAAAATCTAATATTGACATCCATTCAGCTATTAAAATTCATTATCTTTAATTTTTGACGAGTGCATCAGAAATAAAATTAAATTATCACTTTGTAAAAATCATAATTAACTTGACTTGAAGTTTGGTAGTACAAACCATATTTAAGGGTCTCTATTGTATCTCCAAAAAAAATTGACATCAACTTAACCCACAGTTAAAGATTGGAATAAGTGTGAGGAAATTAAGACTAAACGAAAGTATCGTCTATGTTTTATGTTTTAAAGATGACGTGCACAACTTTTTCCCATATTTCTATTTCTGTTGATTTTGAGAGAACCATCCCTGCCAACAAATGTGGTGAGAGATGGTGCAACTTGGGGAGAAGGCGGTGAAATGAATTGAAATAAATGTCAAACCCATCGTGGTTATGGGGTGGCAGTGGCGTTTTCGGGCTCTTCATGCCTGACTGGGTGTCCCTCAACATGCCAAAGTGCACTGGGCTGGGACCACTCGCCTCCGCATAATGCTACATCAATTTCACGCCCCATTGTGCTTTTTTCCAATCACCTTTTTTGCGTCCATCTCCCAACACCACAACATAAAGTCAATACCCTTAACCAAAAAAAAAAAAAAAAAACCAGGAAAGTGAACACAATCATCCCACGCCAGGACAATAAATGTTACTTTCCTTGTTCAATTTTTCCTTCATTTCTTGAGTCATAACTGGCTAATGATGTAGTCCCACACCTTCCACTTTATTGGCTCTGCATGTGGTGATCTGATGACATGCGGGTCAATTCTAGAGGCCCATGTGTTGCGGCTGGGGCTTGTCAATGTGCGCTCTTCTTTCACTTTCAGTTCATTCAGATCATGTCGATGCTCCACTTTAACTCGAGTTTCAACTTCAATTATTTAACCTTATTGGTTTCATGAAAAAGCTGGACCACCATTGTTGTCATTGAAGTCGAACAGGACAGAATTCATGAAGGCCTCGAATTGTGCTGAGGAGAGGGATTTCGGCAAGTGGTGGTCACCCCTGGGACACTGACTCTCTTGAATAAGCGATCGATAGAGTTGGAAGAAGCAACGTCTCTCACCTGCACCACCAACAATTCTTTCACAAAATACTATCCCAAGTAGCCAGGGACCGCCACGTTGTTTTACTCTATCCCGCGCGCGTGAGCTGATGAATATGTAAATTACTTTATCAATACTTTAGCTATGATACTCTTGTGCTTGTGAATTTTTGTGTTTTTGATCATTCTCCACTTCTTATGCTTGCTTCTCATACAAGAGGTGGCCATTGATCAGGGAACCACCTCAACGCGTGGCTCATGATATTTTTGTAGAACTGTCTTGTGAGCTTGCATTATATTAATACATTTTCTCTACCTTATTATCAAAAAATAGTTCATTAGAATAACTCATCATCTCAATGTCAATATTTTGTTTTCGCTGACTCTCTCTAAAGATTTACGAAAGCTTTTGGACTCGGATAGACATAGAATTTGACTTCCCTGGCTTTTCGTTTTTTTTTTTCAATAAGCCTGATTATTTTCTTAAATATTTGTTTGCCTTTTATCTTATCATCTCATGCGCAAGCGGTATGGATGGGAGAAGCTTGCAGTTGCAGGAGCCGGGGAGAGTTGAATATGATTATTTTAGATAAGGCTATTTGCGTATTTAAGCCATTCATTGAACAAGAGCAACCGGCTGACAACGAATTGCTAGCATTTACAATACGTCTTACACCTATCAATCATCAAGTGGCTTGTAAAATCTAAGATAAAATCTACTTAAAAAACAATAAATGGTACAAACTAGTTCACAGTTTGGTTTGCCCTAAATACTACAAAGCCTGGTCATCTGGTGCCGAGGCCTGCACAACATGCCAGCCTTCAAATCTTTACACACACAACCCACCCCCTATATATTTACTTTCTTAAAAGAAACAATTGCAAAATTAATGCAAACATTTAGTTTCTATCAAATCTATTATATTGTAAGAAGAAAACTTATATAAAGCAGGGCACACGTCAATTCAATTTTGCTTGAATTCCAGAAAAATGTATACACAATTAATTTATAACTGCATTAAATACTTCAATCAAAATATCATAAATTTATAATTTCTAATACTATATATTTTAAATATGATTGTATAATTCAAAAAATATAATTGTATAATTTGGTGATGAAATTGTTCAGCCATCATGATACCATTAAAGATCATACATCTATTGTATTTTGATTAATTAAATAATTGTACGTAAGTCTGATTTAAGTAGAAATGTTTTTTGTATATCAATAGAAATTATTAAACATCCTAATTTTGTTTTGCATTCCGTTTTTAAAATAAATATAATAAGAAAACAAAAAATAGAGAGTAGTTAGGGAAGACAGAACAGAGCACGGGTAACGAATTAAAACCGAAGATAAAAGTCAGAAGAAATCCAACAGAAACATGAAACAAGATCTCTCCAAGCCAATAGGTAATGGACATTATGAATTTCGGAGGATTTCTGCGGGTCTTCCTGCTTAATTTCTGGAACTCCGATGCCAACTCTTTTTCATCCCATTTACTTATTATATAATCCTTTTATTTTTATATACAAAAAAATTATATCATACAATTTTAAAAAATTAATTCATTATAATAACTAAAAACAATTGAATTAATATGTTTTATATTAATTAACATTATTAATTATTTTTTATTAATATAAATTATAAAAGATAATTTAAAAATATATAATAAATATTTATTAAAGTAAATAATTTTATTTAAATAAAAAATAAATAAAAAGTAATAGTTTTTCTTAAAAATAAAAACAGAGTGCAACTCTGAACAGCGAACTGTAGGTTTCGGGTTTCCAGAGCGCTACACAAGAAAACGAGAGTGACCAATTAATCAGCCCACAAAACAAACAGTCAGGCTGCAAGTTGCATACTTTGAAGTCAAAATCACTCTCTCACCATTTTGTCCTTTCCTACCCACCAAACCTCCTTCTTGGCCTTTTGCCTTTCACACTACACTCTTCTACCTACTTTGATTCCGATTTGCAGTGCATTTTCTTAGCTTATTCCTAAAGTTTGAACCGTTAACTATATGTCTTCATGACCAGAAATAAACGTGACAAATTAATAGATATTCTGACTGCAAGTTGCAGACTTTCATGCCGAGATTACTCTCTCTCCATTTTGTCCTACTTCTTATCACGGTTATTGGGTAGAGTTGAAAATGAAAGCTGACTTAAAATGTCGCCCATTTAATTCTATCTTTATAAGAGTTTAAGTTTAAAAAATAATATTTTAAAAAAATTAAACTTTTAAACCTGACCATGAAAAAAGGCTCGAGCCGTTTTTTTAAGCTTGTTCTTATTTTTTTCTTAAAAAATAAATATTTTTAATTTTTAAATTAAATTTAAATTTTAGAATATATCTTTATATTTTAAAATTAAAATTTTTATTATTTATTTTTAATTTTTAAACATTATAATTTATATTTTTTAGAAAATATATGAAATATTATAATTACAAAATTTAATTTTAAAAAATTTTAAAAAATAAAAAATTAATAATAAAGGCTTACAGGCCTCAACCTTACCTTTTATATAAGAGTCAAGATTTAAAAAATTAAATACTTCAAAAAAATTGAATTTAAGAGCTTAGGTTCTAAAAGATTGAGTCTATATGAACCAACCCACTCATTTTTTAACTTTATTTTTGGATGCGGTGTATTTCTAATTTACTATCAACTTCCTTGTCCGCGTGCGGATGAATGAAAGGAAAACTTTTCAGAGAGAAATCTATGTAATCGTTTGATCAAACTGACAGGCATTTTTCCACTATTCTCAATTCAAAGCTACGAAAGACAAGTGATCAGATATTCTAATCCGTAACATACAAAAACATCGAATCCACGTTACACATTCCACCGCCTTCACTTTCTACTGTTTTTATCTGAATCTCCTTTGCCGCCGTTCGCGTTAGCGTTGAAGGAAGCATTATTTGCATGAGATTCTGCCTCTAGCGAAACAGTGCCACCTGGAGGAGCAGCCATCACAGTGCGTGTTTCCATTCGGTACTTACTGTACATGTCGCCTCTGTAGAATTTTCTAGTCCTGATCACCAATATGAAGGAGATCAAGCACCCTATAACTGTCGACGCTGTGATTATGAGAAAGGCCATCCTGTAGCAGTGAACTCCTATGCAACTTAAATCTTCCCCTGCTTTCCTTGTCGACCCTTTTGCCTGCAATTGCTTCGAAGCCTCCTTGTCGTATAAAGAGCCTGTCACTCTCACGTTCAGTATGTAAGCTCCCACAGGGCTCGCCACTGCTCCCAGATTGAGCAGAGTGGAGTAATACTTGAGGCCGAATATTTCAGATATGATGGCGAATATCAACGGCCACTGTGCTCCGAAGCAAAATCCGGCAATCACGGAGGACAAGTAGAGAGAATTGGGGACACCGAAGGCAATTAGAAGATGTCCGACACATGACAAGAGCATGACTAGAGAGAGCATCAAAGGACGAGGGAATTTGTATTTGGTCAGGAAGATTTCAGAGGTGAAACCAGAGACTACTCGTCCCAAATAGTTCCATATGCTCACTAAGGACACGAAGGTGGAGGTGCTCTTACTCGGGTATCCCAAAGATTTTGCGATTTGTCCCATGTTGTCAATAGCAGTCAGTGTCCCGCCGACACTGAAAGTTGAGGCAGTGAACAGAACCACCATGTCGATGCTGAACAAAGCTTGCAAAATGGAATAGTCCTCTCCCCTGGTCGGTGGTTTGAAAACGTTGCTCAGACAGGAACTTTGCTTCTCTGACTTGGTGGTGGTGGAGGAACATTCTAGCTGGGTCTGAGGTGGTTCCGTCATTGAAGGTGGAGCTTCAGTGACGACCATCACTTCAGAAGCATCGGTCAAGGCTTGGTTTTTGGCTCTCCAGAGGCGGAGTTCCTCCCTGAAAACCACGGCAAGTGGGAGAAAAAGTAAAAACAGAACCACAAGGCCATCGAACGCGTATTCAATCCTCGCAAAGCTCAGCCTGTTCTGCACGATGATCAATACCATGAGGAACCCGGCTAGCCCAAGCGAGATATAAAGAAGATTATAGAAAACTTTGAGCTCCTTGGGTTGCCGAGTGGTGTTCATTATCCGGATTGTTGGGAGGAAAATGGTGGAAACAGCTGCGGGAATCCAAGCAATGAGCAAGATGAGAGATTTGGTGTCGTCGCCATAGAAGGCATGGTAAAGCTGAGTTATGATGGCGCCGCTGAGCCCAACATAACCCTTGAGAAGCCCCAAAACGCTGCCGCGGCTTCCGGGGAAGTTCTTAACGCATGTGACCAAAGCACCGGTATTGGCAAAAGTCTGGGAATTAGCCCCAATGCAAATGTAGAAACACATTTGCCAGAGTCGGGGCTTGGCAATACGGCCGGTGACGGCGAGCCAGATCATGAAATAGCCGAAGAAATTCATGATGGCCCCGATGGAGAGGACCACCCAAGGAGGAGTGATCTCGTTGATCAACCCGGACAAGATGCCCGTGTTGGCACCCAAGTCTTTGAAGAAACTGAGCAGGTTGAGAGTGGTTTGGTCGTAGCCTAACGAGGTCTTGACGTCGTTTGAGTATAAACCGAAAATATAGGTAGCGCCGGCGACTGCCATGATAAGCAGAGACGCGAAGACCATGAACCAGTGGCCGGTGATCATTTGGTGGGTGAAGCTTGTCATTTGTCTCCAGCCACCACCGCCGGTAGCGGTACTGACCTGTGTAGCTACCATTGTTGCGACGATGTTGTGGGGTTTAAGGTTTGGAGCGAGGCTATGTAGAGGAGCGAGAATGGAGGATGATCCAGATCCAGATCCACATGGAGTCTCAACGCAGTTTAACTATAGGGCAGACTAAGGGGATGGCGTCCGTGGATAGGAATCTCATGTGGGAGGACATATAATTACGTCGGCCCAGAAAATGACAAGCATTACGCGCGGGCTTACTGTTGTAGTAAGTTTACCAGTAACTAGTGCTTGCCGGGTCCCAGAAGAGGCTGGACAAGATCGGGGATAGACATCACAAATTCACAATACGACTGCTGCTGGAGGAAACCGAAGGGAACGTCGCATACGTTTAAGTTTGTTGTCTGTTTAAATCATTGACCAGAAACCAAGGGAAGAACCTGGAGCCAAGGAATTTAGAAATCAAATATTAAATCATTTGTATAAATGAAAATACATAAATATATCTTGAAATTTAGAAATCACTAAATAATAAATTATTTTTATTAGCGTGAACAATGCCATATAATTTCTGTTTTGTGTGAAATCACTTTTAAAATTTATAAAGTATAAAAGAACTGATCACTTATTTAAGTTTATATAAATGGATCCAACGACTTAATTACCCCATCGAAAAAAACGAAGAGACAATTGCTGAAATTAGGATGATCAGGGAGAAACTTTTCTTACATAGAAGAAGAGGACGACCCAAAAAGGACATTCAAAAACCAAGTCGAGAAGGATTAGTTGAGAAACCAAAATTAAACAAGAGTGACTTGTAGCTCCTCTTGGATAAACCAGATGCTGGCCCTGGAAAGTGAATCGTAGGTTTGGAGGTGATTTAGAAATCCTTGTCTGGCTATTATTTTTTGTAATATATTAATGGTGATTTAGAACACTACTGATGGCGACAAAAAATAACGAGAGAAGCATGAAAGCATGCATGCGTCATTGGACACCTCTTATTTCTCGTACCTGTTATTTAATTTGTAATATTAATGCCTCCAAGATTCTTGACAATAACTAGATAGGATGGCAGGTACTATTATTACAGTTACAGTATCATTGCCAAATTGTTAAACTCGTACAGAGAACTCTGATGTTGACCCTGCTGGGAGTTTTCTTGCTCCAGTCAAAGACCGGCCGGTTAGTCTCCTACTAATCAGTTGTTTATTTGACGAGCATACCATTCCCGTGTTCCCTAGTCCATGCCAGTTTGGTTATCTCCTTCCCTCCAATATTCCCACCTATAAAATGATTTATGAAATCTAAGCAGTGATTGATTAATGTGTTTTTTAAAATATCTTTTGAAAAGGGTGCTTTTAATTAGTTTTAAATGAGAGCATGAGAGGGACAAAAGTATTTAAGAAACGGTATTGGCTTTAAAGACACTAAATAATGGGAAAATCACATCTAAGTAAGGACTGTTCAAGCAAATTATTTATAAATAAGGATTAACAAATTTTATTTAAAAAAACAAATCATGTTCTTATTTTAACAATCTATTTTGTATTGATATTTTTTTATAAAAAAATTTATTTGTATGATCTTTGAATGTAATTCTCCCTTAAATAATTTCCTTGATCAACACATAGTATAGTAAAAAATGAAAGGTCTTATCAAAAAAAAAAAAAATGAAAGGGAGCGAGTATCGTGTTTGTTCCCAGCTTCCAAATCTGAAATTATTTCCAGGATTATTGAGCATGTGTGGGTGGGGGAGGTAGGTTTATGGGGCGTCAAACTCACGTGTTTCTAGTCCTAAACTGATGCTCCAGCAAATATTAGTGCGCCATCATTACTTCATTAGTGATAATATGCAAGCCGAAGCTAGGCAGGCCCAACCTCGTCACCCCAATGAGCATTCATGAGAGTATGGGGATGACGTCATATGTTGCCAGCCAAAGGCCAAGGCCATGTTTGGAATTCTGAATTCAAGCTCGCGGTACGCCAAAATGGGGAAGTCGATCGGTATCCTGGACGCTTTGCGCTTTTTTTCTTCTCGGGTCCGTTACAACCTTCACCTTCCATTGGGAATTGGGGCCTACGCTTCATTTGTTAATTATGATTCTGTCCCTGACTAGCGCTCGAATATATTTTATGCTTTCTGTGTTGAACTTGCCTTGTATGACGGCGGCGGATTCCTTACAGGTCCTTGAACTTGTTTTCCGACGTGAATACGTGATTCCTTGTGAATTCATTGCACTTAAGTCATTCACATGTAAGAATAACTCCTCAGTTTTGTCCAAAACAAATAACTCCTCAGTTAAAGTGATCCAAAAGGTTCCCACACATTTATTTATTTATTTATTTATTTTGCCTTTCTGGAATACTACTACTATGCTTTCCGGGAAGTTCTGAATGCACGTGGCCAGAGCACCGGCAGTGGCAAAAGTCTGGGAATTAGCACCTATGCAGATGTAGAGACACATTTGCTTGCCAAACTTGGGGCTTAGGAATCCGAACAGTGAATACTGATGGCGAGCCAGATCATGAAGTGGCCGAAGGAATTCGTCATGGCCCCAGTGGAGAGGACCGTCTCCAAGGAGCACTGATCTCGCTGATCAACTCGAATAAGACTCCCACATTGACACCCAAGTCTCGATGTAGTCTGAGTATAATCCGAAAATATATTCAGCCGGACACGGCCATGCATGATGAATAATATTGATGACTAGCGGAGACGAGAGGACCATGAACCAGCGGCTGGTGATCACTCTTGGTACCTGAAGCTTCTCATTTATGTCGAGCCATGTTCTGACGGCCTCTGTATCTTCCGTTGTCGCGATAGTGTTGTGGGCTTTGTGCTTTCGAACGAGGTTGTTTAGACGTGTGGGAAAGGAGGATGATCCAAACGGAGTAAGAATCGCGCATGTGCCCGGGCAATTATATCAGCATGGAAAGCAACGATCGTCGTTCACGTTCAACCTTATTTTTTATTATCTTGTTTAAATCATTGACAAGACATCGAACAAGAATCTATAACAATATATCATCTCGCCATCGTCGTTTCTGCTGACTGGTTGAGGTGTAATCATTTTTTTGACTTCTGGCCGGTGAAATCAAGTAAGTTAACCCAAAAACATTTCAATCATGACACGGTGGGTGGAGTGAAATAAATGAGGGAAGTAAATCTACGCAAATATTTTAATTATTTCTCAGCCATTGGTGATTGGACACAACCGACGGTGGGGACTTTGCTGTAAAAATGGCTTGAGCGATTTGGCCAGAGAAAATTCGGTTCGAAGGTCTCCCTTCTGCTTTTTCCTGCATTGAAATAATGGAAGCTTTAGGTTATGTTTCGTTGGATGGAAGTCGAAGAAATAAGGGGAGGGTAGAGCTAAAAAAGTGAGCGAACCCGGTCCTTAATGGCTTGACTCTTATGAGCATGAGTTCTAAAGTCTAATTTCTCATTTCTAACCTCATTTTTTAAATCCAAACCTTATATAAAGAGCTTAAAATTAGCCCGCAAGTCCTGTTTTAAAGAATAAAAAAATTAAAATAAAATTAAACATTATAAATTAATTAAAATATTTTAAAATTTAAAAAAATAAAATTCTTATAATTTTTTAAAAATTAAATAACACACATTTAGAAGTCTAGTAATAAAATTTAAATCTTAATTAAAGATAATTTAATTTTTATAAATACACAAACATAATAATTATAAAAAAATAAAAAATATTAGAAATTTTATATTGTACAATAATATTTATTAAATTTTATTAAATCAATTTTAGAATAAATTAAAAGTAATAATAATATAATGCATGTAGGATCAGGTGAGCAGGTCACTGGCTCCAAACATGTGTTCTATCAAAGAAAAAAAATAATAATAATATAATAGAGCTTGAAGGGCCACCTGGGCCCGAGCCCTTTTTTATAGGACTTATCAAAGCCAAGTTCTCAAACTCCATTATTTTTTTAAAAAAATTTATTTTAAAAGCTCGAACCATTATTTAAATAGGATCTTCAAGCTCAACCCTCTAAGTCCAACCTATTATAATCAAGCCAGTATTTAGCTACAATTTTATTTGTTCAGGAGCCACATTTTCAAAACCTGACAAGACTTCGTACCAACGGTTGAAAAAAAACGTGGCTCAAAGCCACGCTTTTTTAAAAAAAAAAAACATGGCTATTGCTAACCTAACATATTATCAGACTTCAACCATATTTTTTCAAAAAACATGGCTTTGAACCACGTTTTTTTGAAAAAATATGGTTGATTACTTTTATTTAAAAAAAGTTCGTAACATTTTTGCAGAAATTATATATTTTAAAAAATTTCAAAAATTTAAATATTACATATTATTATATTAAAGCCACATTTAATGTTGCTACTAACTTATTTTATTAAATAAAATTTGATAATTTTTTTTTAATTTAAATCTTTTTCACAAGCTTTTGAACTACTTAAATACTGCAAAGTTTTATATTATATTATTATTTTTTTGTAATATTTTGAAAAAAAAATTATTTCACACAATTTAATTTTCAAATTGTTTACGATAATTAAATTTTAATTATTTTTTGATTAGATTATTAATACACATTATTTAAATTATTTTTGTTACTGGTTGACGTATATATTTTTTTTCTACTTATAAATATTTTTAATTAATATTTTAAATATCTTATTAATATGTAAGATTTTCCAACCTGTAAAACAGAAAAAAAATATAATTAGAAAATTTAAAAAAAATTAAAAAATTGAAAAGATAGATAGAATAAAAAATGAGATAAAATAAAAAATTTACTTATAAAATAAGAAACAAATAAAAAAAATTAATAAAATCATAAATAACTTACATAAAAAAAAAAAAAGAAATGAGAGTCGGAGAATATCAGAGAACCTGAGAAGATGAGGTATAGTAAAGAACAAATGAAAGGCGAGCAACAAATGAAAACAGACGGGGGCATATATAAAAGCAGATAAAGCAAGCCACTTTTTTCACAAAAAACGTGGCTCAACATGAGCCATTATCAATTTTAAAAATAATTTAATTTAATTTTTTTATGTTTTATTTTACATCAATAAAATCAAATATTTTTATTAATATTAAAAATAATTAAATTGTCCTAACAAAAAAAATTATTATATTATAAATATTGTTATGTAATTTAATTGTAAAT